GGGTTCAATTCCAGAACCAATGAAATGAAGAAGAAGAACCCAAAAGAAGGAAGCTTGCTATCATTGCTAGAGGCCACAGTGAAAGCCAGAAGATCCAGCTTCCCATGAGTTGGACCACACCTGAACCTTCCTCTCATGAAGTAGCTATGCCTGCCAACTTGAGAAGAGAATGCATGATACCAAAGCTGTGCTTTCACTGCTCTGCTGCCTGTGTTCTCCAGGAAGCTCACTCAGTCCAGTTGAGAGAATGTACCCTGCTGTATTCATGCCCTGGAGACAAAGTTCTTACAGAGAACTTTATATCAAAGACCACTTCCCAGAGCCACCCACACACAGGCATCATGTGGCATTATGCCAGTAGAGAGAGTCAGGCACAGCATGGACCTGAGCTGTGCCCAGAGAGGATGTTCAGTACACAGAGCCCTTCACGATAAGCTCCCTGAGACCTGTCTGCCTTCTCTGCTGATTACAGCAGCACTTCAGATGTTAGAATGCTAGAAATGGCCTCTGTACCTCTTGGCATGGGAACCATTAGCTCTGTACATCAGTCTCACCCTATTCTGGTTCACTTGGGGATTTACGGACACTGTTTTTCACTATGTAGGTTTTCCTTTCTACTCTAGCATCTTTACTATGGATGATGTGAAAGGTTGAGAAGTTCCCGTTTCACTGACTATGAACTTACTGTCCTCCCAGGAACTGAACCCTCATGGTGGAGGACCTCTCTGAGGGTGTCCAGGCCACCTAGCACTGGGAGTGCACTTGGGCACTAGAAGATCTCTTTTCCTGTGGCTGCAGGTGTGACTTTAATATTGCCTTTCTTCTTATACTTTGTCCTACTAGGCTCAGCAAAGTAGGAACCAGATCTCCCTCCTTTCCTAATGGGTAAGTTCCCTTAGAGGAAAGATGCCACACTGGTTTGCCATCTGGTGAGGGTTTTGATGGCTTCCTTTATAAGTCTGTCCTCAGCACTAACTGGATTACATTTCCAGTGAGCTCTGAATGGAAGCTGGGAGAGTTTTCTGAGAAAAAGAACACTGCACCGCAGCTGAGAGAACTTGCCACTCATTCTACAGCTTCTTATCTTATTCCATGGTTGGTTAGAAAGCAAGAGTCAGACCCCCAAACTAGTGCAGTTTTCAGTGAGTGGCTTTTAAAAACTGATTTGAGGGTCTTGGCAAGGGCACTACTGTTGACTATCTGCTTGTTTCAAAGGTTGGCATCTGATGTCTTTGGAGTGGTTTTTGCTCCCTCTCTCCAAATGCCAGCCTTCTGTCCCTGAGATCCTGGAGGGCAGTTCTCCCATGATTAGAGTTCTCCCATGATTACAATCCAAAGAGGTTCTGTGCTTCTTATAGACATCCTTACTCCTTAATGATTGCCATGTTAGTCTCATATGGCCCCTAATTTCAACAGCAAAAGGTTACACACTAGGCAGGATTTTTGTGCCTCTGACAAAGTGTGCAACTACCGTACAGCATTCTGGAGATGTTTCATGTCAATCTTTTCTTTTTTCTTTTTTTGGGCAATGCTGGAGTATGACAGTCTTAATCTTGCTGGTCCTGCCACAGAACTGCTGGTCCAAGGGAGTACTTAGAACTTCAGGTTTCCCCGGAGGCCTAGGGCCATGCCCATTCTGTGGGTAGTGTTGTCGGTAGATACACAAACTGTGCCACCAGTCTGGTCCTGCACTGTCACTCCATGGCTCAGAGCCCACAATGTTCTCTTCTGGTACTGGGACTTGTACAAGTTTCATAGAATAAAAGTCCTGCTGGATAGAACTTTCGGCTTTTCTCATTTTCTTTGAGATATATTCCAAAGTATATTATGTACATTAAAGTGTTGGAGTTTCTAAATAAAATGGATAAATTCATAGAAAAATATAAAATACTAAATACTTTTAAGAAGAAATAAGGAACTTAAATCAATTAGAAATTAGAAAAATGGAAGCTAAAATCTCTTCCCCTACTTGCCAAAGAAAAAAACCCAGGCCCAGTAGTTTTGCAGGTAAGTTTTACCAAACTTTCAAAGAATAGATGATTCCTATATTATGTAAAAAGTTCTCCCAGAAAATGAAAAAAAAGAACAAGAGCTACTCGGATCATTGTATTGAAGTTAATGTAATCTTGACTCCAAACAAAATAAGTATAAATAAAATTATAATCTCATTTCTTTTATGAAATAGTTGCAAAAAATCCTAAACAACATATTAACTAATGAATTATCAGTGTATTTTTTAAGTGAATTACAATTGGGTGGGACTTGTAACAGGAATTCAAGCAAGAATTATCATGAAAAAATCTAATAATATAACATATGAATAGGGGAAAATAATTATTGTCTCGATACAGAAAAAGCCTTTGATAAATTTTGATGCCTATTTGTAATTTWAAAAAATATATTGACAAACAAGGAGAAGAGTATACTTCCTTAAGCTGGTTATATACCAAAAACCTACAGTAAAGATTCTGCTTAGTGGAGAAATTATAGATACATTTCACTTAAGATTGGGTGGAGAATAAAACACTGCCTAGGGGCCTAAGGTTGTGGCTCAGTGGTAGAGCACTTGCCTAGCATGCATGAGGCACTGGGTTCTGGGTTCGATCCTCAGCACCACATAAAAAAATAAATAAATAAATAAAGATATTGTGTCCACCTACAATTAAAAAATAAATATTAAAAAAAACACTGCCTACCATCACTATCTATGGTTAACAGCACTGGAAGCACTGTCAATGCTCTAAAGAAAGAAAAAGAAACTAGAAGCATAAATTCTAGAAAGGGGGAGATAAATGGTCATTATTTTATCTACTTGGAAAAACCAACTGAGTAAACAGAACATTAAGATGAAAAAGAAAGTTCAGCAAAGTTGCTGAATTCAAGATAAATGTTAAAAAATTTAATAGCATTTCTCTATAGCAGCCATAATCAACTAAAAATATAAGAATAAGATAGCATTTGTAATAGCAACAAAAGCTGTGGGCAATTTTTTGGTTTACTTAAGAATACACAGATGTTCATGGAGTAAATTATGAAACTAATAGGAGAGGATGGAAATAAAGGGAGAGAACAAGGAGGAAGCTACAGGGCCCTTCATAACCTCGTTTTGGGTGTTCCACTGGTGCTGTGCTGGTTCTGTTTGTTGGCAGCAATTCCTTTGTCTGGCTCTTGCTTAGGTGGGAGGGATTAGACTCTGCAGGTAGAAGAGGAGACTTTGCACACATATTTTCAAACACCACTCCTCCTAACAAAAGAATGTACATCAAACACTGGAAAGATTGCATATGACAGGGGAGAATAATGAGAATGCAATAGAAGGGAATGAAAGGRAGGACGAGAGGGAGGAAGGCTGACTTTTGTATACCAAAAACAACAGTGTGCCATGAATTGATGTAGATGTTTAATTTTCTGCCCTGGAATGAAAAAAAAAAATAGCGTTCCTCTTTTCAGTCTCCTTACTATACATTTACATAGCACATAACCTTAACACATATCTTTTGGTTTCTGGTGGTTTTTTTTACAGGCTAGSATCTTTTTATTTTATTATAAGTTATTTATATGCAGTGCTGAGAATCGAACCCAGTGCCTTGCACATGCCTATAACCCCAGTCCCCAGGCTGGGATCTTATTATACATATTGATCTACTATTAGGTTTTCTCATTTAACCTTGTATCCCAGAGAGTTTTTTCATGTCACTGTAAATACAGAGGTTTGTCTGATTTGTTTTATTACTACACATTATTCCATAGTGTGGATACACCAGGAATATAATTGATCAATTTCCTACTGATGGACATTCAGGTTAGTTTTACTTATCTTTCTTTTTTCCTTTCTCTCTGTTGGCTGGATGGGTCTTTCACTATATGAGCATCCAAATTTGTACTTTACTTATTTTGTCTCCCCTGGACTTCAAGACTAAGGGACCAGGAACATGCAAGATGGATTCTGCTGTAGAGTTTGTTACTTGAGGACAGGCAGGGCCACTGTGGCAGATTTCTATGGTTCAGCAACTCAACCAGGGTCCTAKTCTTTGCCTTCAAAGACCTCATGTTTAGCAAAAGGCAGACATGTGAGTGACCCATGGGAGGCAGAACAGCATACAGGGAGGGGAAGCCTCCTGTCTCACTAACTGCGCCCGTTTTTCATCCTAGCCCACCACTCACTGGATTTGACACTGGGCAAGTTATTTCACCTCCCCAAAATCTTAGTTTCCCTACATCTAAAATGACTATTTTTTTTCTCAAAGGGGTCTGATAAACAAGAGGATACATATAACGTTCCTGGCACATAGTGATCTGTGAACATTGAGTTTTCAGGAAACTAGCCAATCAGGTGGGGACACAGGTCCTCTGAGGTTTTAAGTCCTCATAAATGAAGAGCAGAGCCCTGAAGAATGGGCAGCATTCCCCTRGCAGAGCTGGAGGAAAGCATTTTAGTGCACAGAAAGGTAGAAGTGAAAGTCCTGAGTTGGAAATGGGAGGCGTGTTTGGGGGTGGGGAGTAGTGTCCTGTGGCTGGCTGGAGGGACACATTCATTAACCAGAGGAGGAAAGGCCTTTCTAGGATGTATGCAGGTGGTCTTCTGGCACAGAGGACAGAAATCCAGGACACCTCCAGGGACTTGTGCCTCAAAGCTGAAGCTGCAGATCCACCACAAGACCACCGTTGGGGTCAGCCATAGACCCCAACCTCATCCCTTCCCTCATCCTCCTGCCTTCTTCAGCATGGGCCTCCTCCCAGGCTTGGCCACTCCCAGCATTCAGCACCCCCACCCCTCAGCAGGGTTGGGAGGCAGGCGGAGGATTTTCGCGGGGGCTGTGCTGGGTGGGCAGTTTTCCCAGAAGAAGGAGCGAAGCTGGACTGAGTTGGCGCCAGCTTCCTCAGATGTAGACATCGCTGGCTGAATGGCCAGCCTGCCCCAGCGAGCTTGAACTCAAGGACTCCCTCAGGCCCTGTGTTCCTGCTCTGAGGGCTGCAGTCCTATACCTCAGGGGAGTGGCATGCCACAGAGGGAGGCCAGAGGGGTACCAGCAATGCCAGGATTGGGGCATAGCCGGGTTAAGGCCAAAGCACGGTTGCTGCCAGGCACCAACAGGAAGAGGAGCCGCCTTAGCAGGACAAGGCAGGACCTGTGGGAAGAGCCCAGCTGGAGTGACCAAAGATGGTGCAGATCTTCCCCTACCCCTCGAGGGGCCAGAGCTAGAAGCCCGGCTCGTGGCAGGGTAAGGAAATCCTGGTCCAATAGAGGGAGCGCGGGGGAGGCAGGGGTTGGAAAGCAATGAGCCTCACTCCATGATATTGTTCCTGCCCAAGAGTAAGGACATGAGCCCCTGAGACTCCTCAGAGCCCTGTGGGGTTGATTGGAATGAATCAGAGCTGGTCTTAACCAGAGCAGAGCTCAGAGAGTTCCCTTCACTTCTCTGAAGGAAACTGAGGCCCGGAGGAGGGATGTGAATTACCCAATGTCCCCAAACAGCAGTCAGCAGCAGGGATGGGACCTGGTTAGTTTGTTGTGAACCCTGGTTTGTCGTCCTTACCCCTTTACCACAGCAGCCTCTTCATCTCAAGACCTGGCTGGGTCAAGGGTCAGCCCTACTGAGAAGGGTGTGGCTCTGTGTTCCCCCTGGGCCCAAGGGCACCCCAATAAGCAGGATTCAAATTGGGGAGTAATGGAGAGAACCCTGGACGCTTGGGTTCTGAGTCAAGCTTTGCCACCTGCTGCCATCTGACCCTAGCCCAGGCCTTCCCACAGCTATAAAACAGGGCGGGGCAGAGAACCACAAAGGTGGGCTGAGGTCTATCAGTTTTTGCTGTTCAGCACCCACTACTGCAGTAGGACACCCGACTTCTAGAATGCTTTTGAAGCCAGGGTCGATGGCGTTCGGGCCAGACCTACTCACTGGGGCCCTCTGTGCAGAGTGAGGCCAGCCCTGAGAATGCAGCACGGGAGCGGAGCCGAGTAAGGACGCTGCGCCAGGCCTTCCTGGCCCTGCAGGCTGCTCTGCCTGCCGTGCCGCCTGACACCAAGCTCTCCAAGTTGGATGTGCTGGTGCTGGCCACCAGCTACATTGCTCATCTCACCCGCACTCTTGGCCATGAGCTGCCCAGCCCTGCCTGGCCACCCTTCCTGCGTGGACTCCGCCACTTGCACCCTCTCAAGGTACGTCATAGGCCCAGGGACATGGCTGGGGAGATCTCTGCCCAGGACCCTGAGGCAGGGTAGAGTAAAGGCGGGGGCACTGGATTGGGGCCCCTGCTGTGGGCAAAGCTGACATCAGGGTCAGTTTTTCCTGCTGTTGCAGAAGGAAAAGACTCAAGACTGGCTCTTGGGGTGGGACCAACCCTGTATTTCTCATGGGGTGGTGACTGGGATGTGGTTCCTCCAAGAAGAAGGAAAAACTCTGGGGGTTCTTAGTGTCAAAGGGAAAAAGGAGCATGTCCTAGGGCCGGTGCTTGGGGAAGCAAATGGCACCCAGGAAAGTCCTTGATCATCATGCGGCTTTACACCTTGCACAGTACTGACCTCAGTGTCCTCTGAACTCCTGTTGCAGGAGAGAGCCACTCTTTGGGACAATCAAGTGGGGGGCAATAGTGCAGCATGGACTGTTTGCCATACTGTCACCTAGCTTTCCTGAACCTCAGCTTTATTCTATGTGAAATAGAAGCTAACAGGAGCTTGCCTTCTCCTCTTGAATACAAAATAAGATTATGAATGATAAGTATAATTAATGATAATCGCCATTGCCATGACAGACAACATGGCTGAGGTGCTAAAGCTATGCCAGGAGCTAGGCTAAGTGCTCTAGCATGCTCTTATCTCTTGACCTGTGCAAGAACAAAATGAAGATTACAGATGAGGAAGCAGAGGGAGGGCAAGAGACTGGGTGTGGTTTGAGTCCAAGGGAGTCTAATTCCAGACACCTTGCTCACAGTCCCTGAGCAGGCCCCAGGATGGCACCTTAAGGAGCTGGTTGAGAAGCACACTTTGCTCTCTGAGGAAAACATCGTAAGGGGTCAACTTTATTTTTATGGAGGATACTTTCCCCCCTCTCTCCCCTAAATATCATGGTCCTGAAATATCTTGAAACTTGARGTCTTTCTTTCTTTCTTGCAAATCTAGCTAACCTGCAAGATTCAGAAACAAAATGGTACAACTCCAAAATGCTAAAGGTGGCACCTGGTGCAGGGTTCTGAGATGACAACAGGATCCTTCACTGTAAAATGGTGACCAAGTTAAGGCCTTTGCATGTAGTAGATAAATATATTAAAGAATGAAGACCTGGTTAGGTCTAGAACTCTGGCAGATTGGTGAGGAAGGGAGGTGAGCCAGGGAGAAGCACCCTGYGTCCCTAGTGGGAAGGGCTGTTAGAGAGGAAGGGCTGAGTCAACATGGAGTTTTTTTTAGGACTGCTTGCTCCTGCTGGAAGAAGTGAAAATGCCTGGAGGACCCCAATTGAGAGGGAGTTCTTCCTGCCCACCAGAGGGGGCCCTTGATCTCCTCAGCCAGCTCCTCCTGTGTCTCTTGGCCAGACTCAGGGTATCTGGAAAATGTGTGGGATCCCTGGCATCAGAGCTGTGATGCCTGGGGGGAAGGCATGAGGCAGGGGTGCTAGGGAAGGAGAAGCTTCAGGTGTTACGGATTCTGGACAATGAAGGGCAGCAGAGTCACTCACCACCCATCCTGTGTCTTACAGAAGTGGCCCATGCGATCTCGTCTCTATGCTGGAGGTCTGGGATGCCCTGGCCTCGACTTCACCACAGCCATTGCCTCCTGCCAAAGAATGAGGGATGAAGAGATGGGGTCTCAAGTCTCTGGAGAGGCAGATGTTCTTCTTCTTACCAGGCCACCCTCACCAGCTCTTGGTGACAAATGACTACTATCACACTCATCCTGTTCTCCTAGACCATGCTTAGGAACCTGAGTTTTCTACCAGCGCCTACCCATCTTCTCTCTAACTCTCAGCCATTGGATTTGACTCTGGCTCAAYTTCCAAGGTCTAGTCTGCAGACTAAGTGAAGCAGCAGTGGAGAGTTCCCAGGGAGCACAGAATAGAGAGCCTCACCCTTGGCTCTTCTGTGGCAGCTACAAGGACGTGGGCGAAGAATGGGTTTGACTTGGTTCAAAGTCAAGTGAGGCACCACCCYTCCTTTCTCTCCCCTAAGGCTCCTACAAATCCTCTGCACACAGGTAGAAGACAAAAATCATGGCGCAGGTGCAGAAGGAGGGGCCAAGATGGCAGCTGCCACAGGTGCTGATGGGAAAGCCAGGGGGCTTCATAGGTTCTTGGTAGCTTTAAGTGTGAAAAGACCTAGGCCCGTGTCACATAGCCAGAGGGAAAACAGAAGAAAGAAATATGCTTTTTTATATGGCACTGTGAGATGATTACCCAACGTCAAAGAGGCAGTGAGGAATTTAGGATTCTTGTCTCTGGATGCTGTGTCTCTCCAGCTGCCCCTCATCACTACATTTTCTCCCTCTCTGGGTTTTGCATCCTTCCACTGTTTCTGTTTTGACAAGAGTTATATCTACAGGTTAAGACATAAAGCTTACATTGCTTACGTTCCAGTTTCTGGAGAAAGTTTTAGATAGTCCCAGCTGTTTAGTTTGAGAAGATCTTACCCCAGAGGCAACTCTGTCTTAACGGAACCAGGYAACCATTCAAGGCCCTGCCTATGCAGGATGCTGATATGCCCATTTAAATCCTCAAAGGACCTTAAAAAAAGAATGTGTATCAACCCCCTTTCCAGGGGTSGATCCTTACAGTCTCCTCTTTCCATTATGTCAGAAACCTTACCTCAAAGGAAAACAAGACAGGTCCAGGGTCAGCGGGTTCCCAGTGCTGTTATTGTCTGAGGTTTCATTGACTCTGGAGTTATTTCTACAATCAGTCTGTAAATTAGCTCCCTAGGCCAGATTCTCTCACAGCCATCATCCCACCAGGCTGTCCCTAAGTCCTWCCTTGAGATGCCAGAAATGTGATAGCTCTGTAATAGAATTCATCACTGGTCCCGAAGAAATAATTTGAAGACTAATCACAGAGTCTACATACAGAGATGAACTTTCTAGGTCAGAAGAAGCTTCAAAGCCAGCACCTGAAGTGCAAGCAGGGAAGGAACCAACTTTTTGATAAAGTTCAGCATGTAGGCAGACTTAAGTCCCAACAGGGTATGGTTAGTCGCAAGCCATCACTGTCCTCATGAGTGTAAAGGTCTGGGGCGGCTGGGAAGAACTGGGGTCGGTCCTCCACAGAGCTGGCTGGGAGCAGGGAATAGTGGGCAGGAGTGACTCAGCAAGCTGGGGTGGAGGTAGGAAAGGAGACACAGTACGTCCCAGCCTGAACCACATGGGATGTGGGAGCAGCTGGACTGTGGCGGGGAGCCATGGGAGGAGGCCTCAGCCAAGGCTGAACACATAAATCTGCCTGGAACCCTGTCTCTGCTGAGAATCCTGCAGAGCTTGTGCAGAGCTGCTTCTGGGCAGCTAGACGGGGCCAGGCAGGGCAGAGACCAGGTGTGGGAGGGCGAGAGCAGTGTTCTTCACAAGACCATAAAAGTCCAGCTTGAGTGTTCTATTTTTAAAGCTGAATAGCAGCATCTCCCTGGTTGAGTTGGAGGGGGTAAGAAAGGTCTCCAATGAATTTCCTCCTGAAGAGTGGCACACAGTCTCTTTCTGGGCATGAAGGAACTGGTTTTGGAGTTTTATTCTGGGGTTCCCTGAGACCCTGGAACTTCTAATAACTGAGTAGACTTTGATCTGGAGTTTTCCCTGCCCCCACCTGGCTCGGACTCAAGCCTTTGCCTCATATCATCAGACTCTGGGTGACCATGTCACCCTGGTATAGAAGACAAAGAGGGCAAAGGGATGAACCTGGTGAGTCTGAAGAAGGGCAGGTTCCATCAGGACAGTTTCTAAGGCTGTCTCAAGCCCTTTCTAGGCAAAGTTGTTTTCCTTAGTGCCCAGGACAATCCTTTGTGGTCTGGGGGTCATCTTCCTCAGCTGGACATCCAACACAGTCAGGCCAGGGAGCCAAAGGAATGCTCAGAGGATGACCGTCCTTGCCCTCCTTGATGAGATGATGCTGGCCTTGAGGAATATCAGGTTGCAGACCAGAATCCATGAACCACCCAGAACCAGGTGTAGCCCCTTTGCCTCTGCAGCAGAGCAGGTGGTGTTTATTCTAGAAGCTAGGGAGCATGGGTGAATGAAGTGCTGGAGGCAGCAGAGGCAGCTGAGATCCAGGTCCAGAAGATTTTGTTCCCTAACAGCAAAGGTATGCAGGAAAGAAGCTGCTATGTTCTAATAAAACCCACTTGTTCAAGTATTATTTATGGCTGCCTTCCTGATACCAAAGCAGAGCTGACTAACCCAGACAGACTGAGAAGCCTAAAATATTTACTCTCTGGCCCTTACAGAAACAGACTGCTGACCTCTGCTCTATCAGGTATCAAAGGTATCAGGGGTATTCAAAATCTGTTCTGGAAACCTTGGGGGGCCAAATATATTTTTATAATATAAGATGCTATTTACYGGCTGGGGTTGTGGCTCAGTGGTAGAGCACTTGCCTGGCATGTGTGAGGCACTGGGTTCAATTCTCAGCCCCACATAAAAATAAGTAAAGGTCCATCAARAACTAAAAAACAAAATTTAAATAAAGGATGCTATTTACCATTTTTTACTCTTATTCTGTCATGGTGTAGTGGAATTTTCCAGAAGCTATACAACATGTGATATTGCAACAGATGGAATGGAGAGACATATAGGAGAATCCAGCTATTAAGAAAGACATTAAAGATATTTGCAAAAATATAAAACAACACCACTCTTCTCACTAAATATTTCCAACAAGGAAAATAATTATATTTCATTAAAATATTATATATGTATATTGACATATGGATTAATGGATTAATGGTCATGTTATTTTAAAATAAATATTTTAACTCTATTTTAATTTCTAACATGGTAACTATCAGCAGGTACAGAATAAAAAAAAAAAGCTCTTTGTTTGGGGTTTTACTTTCTTGAGAGTGCAAAGGAGTCCTGAGACCAAAAGTTACAGAATCTGGGCTCTAGAATAAATTGATGACAGTTAAGAAAGTTCTCTCCCAGGCCCTATATCTTGAACCATCACAGCCCTACCTTCTGGCCACAGCAGACACAGTAGATTGGTCCTGTCCTATGGAAGGCAGAGGTCTCTGGGCACAGGGARCAGTTGGTGGTGAGGACAGAAGCTGGTGGCCTGTGAGTCCCCACAGGGAGGTCTCTTGGAGAACAAAAGTGGGGCTGCTGCCCTGGTGGGCTGAGCCATCTCCTCCTTGTCTCTGCTGGCCCACAGCACCCCATTCATCTTCTTCTCCGGAAACAGGTCACAGTCCGTGGGGACATCCTGGGAACATGCAGAGCAAAGGCAGTGGAGCTGGTAAGAGTGGGCAAGGGTGGTGAAGGGACACATGTAGGAAAGCAAGAGACCCTGCTWGGGTCCCCGCTAAAAGGGAGCCCAGCCAGGCCAGTGGGGGAGCAGGGGAGGAGAAGGAGGAGCACAGTGCAGAGCAGGAGTGGGATAGGGCAGCAGAAAGGCCAGGCTGAGCTGAGCTGAGCTGATCCCCGAGCCAGCCCAGCCTTGTGGAAGGGCAGCTGCTGGGGACAGTCCCTGTTTAGGCACATGACTAGAAAAAGGAACACTGGAGAGAGGGGATAGAAAAGGGGATAGGAGGGGACCTGGGAGGCAAGTGGCATCTGCAGACAAGAGAAGGAAGTAGGTCATGTGACAATGGGTCCCACCTGGCTGTGGCTTCTGCAGCAAAGCCGCTTCTGACAGGACAAGGGCAGGAGGGAGAGAAATCTCAGCAGCACACAGTAATGGTCCAAGATCCAGGGGTTGGCCCTGCGTGCCCCCAAAGGCAAAGGAACTTGTGAGTGACCTCTGGGGAATGTTCCAAGTCCTCAAAGCAAGTCCTCAAAGCAAGTCCTTGGCTGTCCCTTCAGCAGAAGTCTCAGCCCCCTCCCACCTCTGGGACCTCTGCTGGGAAGCCTGGCTGTTACCTACAGCCAAGGGCTCTGAGGGGCAGAGTCCTTCCTCCCCGACTTCAGAGTTCCTGAAAGCCCCCCAGCCCCTCCTCACTGATGACCCCCCACCCTCAATGGTAAGCAGACCCCCCTCAAGCTCCCACACCAGC